GCTGGAAGCCACGCGACATCTTCTGCTTTGATGTCTCGTAGTCGTAGTAGCTGTTTGGGCAAAATTGGGCAAAAGATAAGAGTTGATTCCAATGCAGAATTTATGGGAGAATATTTTGACATGTGTTTCCACACGTAACACCGCGTACTCACTTTGTAAGGCTATGATTTGCCGAGTCAAATCTCCGAGACGAGTGGCATATTAACATTTTTTGTATTTCATTCAAAAATCATACCTTTGGATTATTTTTCGAACTTTTTATGCATATGCTCGTATTCCTCATTAAATACAGATTATAAAAACATGTCGCAACATCGAATTGGTGCTTGATTAAACGAGTGAGCAGGCGTTCCGTTGTCATGTTATTTTTGCCTTATCCTAGCCAGCGACCTGGTGGGGGGGGCTATTTTTTGCCCCCCCCCCCCTCCAGACTTTTCGATACATCTCCAGAACCGCTGCGCCGATCGTCACCAAACTTTCAGTTCCCTCTCGGACATCAATTTTACACATGGTGACCAAAACTTTTTCCAAAGGCTATGATAGGTTGGCCGGAAATGACGTCAGAGTGACGTCATGTTCTGCCGTTTTCGACCCAAAAAAGGGTTTTACGGGAAGAGCTGTCAGGCCTATAGCTTTGCAAATACAGAAAAATGATAAGGACATAAAAGCTGTAGAATTGACAGGGCTACAAAACTGCTATCTCGGATTTTTGAAAGTTTTGGATTTTGACCCCCAAAAATTAAAAAAAGTATTTTTTTTTTTGATATAATGATCGAAAAATCCAAAAAAAGTTTTTTGAATTTCGCAAACACCGGGATATATGTGATAGTCCTTACCACCTTCCATCCACATACCAAATTTGAGATTGATACCTCTTTTTTTTGGCGAAGTTATAGCGAAAAAACTGTTCAAAATTGATGACGTCAAATTTTCAAACTCAATTTTTAGCAATTCTAGACCCCGTAGCGCAAAACAAAGACCACCATTAGACTCCCCGTGACGAGCTGCATCGAATCAATACCCATTTTATGCAAAACTATCAACTTTAAAATTTGACTTTTTTTGGCCTGACCTTGACCTGACCTTGACCTGAACTTCACCAGAAAGTGACCTAAGCCTACCTGATAGTCTTATAACCAACACCATTGAGTTGGAAATGAAAAATTGGCCATAAAACATGCATCAAACAACTTTAGTAAAGTTGGGCTCATGTGACCTGACCTGTGACCCTTGGTGACCTGACCTGTGACGCGACCTGGTATTGTCAGTGACCTCTAATAGCAACATATCTACTAGGCAACTGACGCCCTATCGCTGATTCTCGACAAAATGCGTTTTCCTCAGTGTTATAGCGCATTCCCTAGAAGACCCTTGAACGGTGAAACATTTCATCTTTGACCTGACCTGTGACGTCATCGGTGACCCCGAGGTCAATGAAATTTGGTTTCCTTCGACAAATTTGACAGGCCTTTCGAACGCCGTTTGAATTTTGCGGATCCGTCCAGTAGTTTCGGAGATACGAGGGGGGGGGGGGGCAAAAAATAACCCCCCCCCCCCACCAGGTCGCGTTATAAACAGACCCCACCGGGGCGCGGGCTAGGAGCACGGTGTTAGTGAGGTCAACCCTTCACTTTGTGACGTATTTTGATGTATAAGTCATCATTTTTAAAGCGATTTAAGGTCGAATTCGGATACACTGGACAATTCTGCGTAGAAAGAATATAAAGAAAGTGTAAATCAAAATACTCGTATTTGCCACTTATGTCGTGCTAGGATCGCAAAAGTCCCCACGATGCGCTGTAGCTCTATCGGCTCCCGAGTTAGCCGTTGGCAGTTTCCAAAATGTTGAAATAGCCGACATTTTACCTTTGGTGACCTCTGGTGACCTGACCGTTGACCTGACCCAAAAATGACCGAGCGTTTTCGTCTTTATTTTGGACGTTCTTTCGATTGCCGCTTACCGCGTGTCGCTACGTGGCCCAGGAGCCGAGTTAGAGGGGGAGGGGTGTTCAGACACCCTCCCCCCCCCCCCCCCCCGGCCCGGCGCGGAAGTCTCGGAGCACCGGCCCGGCGCGAGGGTAATCCGTCAACTACATAGCATACCTAGGTATTTCAGAAGAAATTTTACTTACTTTTGTTTTTCTTGGATATGTTGTGTTCAGAACAAAAAGATGGCACAATGCTTTTCCAAGCCATGCTTATCAAATTACAAGAAAACACGATGGCATGGGCCAGTTTTAAGAGCGACTGAAAGCATCAGTCGTCTTCGTTTTTAGCTTTCAAAAAATTAATGAATAAAAGATTAGGCACCCACTTCATGCGTATTTGCTTTTTCCTGAAAGTACAACGCCTCTCGTTTCGACGCTTTTTATGACACGACAATCTGAACGTAACACAAGACAATCAGAGAACCTTGATCTTGTTGCCCCAAGAACGGAATTCATGAAAAATTCTCTTTCTTACCAAGGCTCTAAGCTTTGGAACAGCTTGCCCCCCTCAAGTGAGGAACGCCTCAAAGAATGAAGTAATAAAGTACATTCTAACTAAGGCAGACATTGACAAGCCATGATTATCGGTCATATGCTCGTACTTATACAATGTATCGTTTCAACGTGTGCAATTGCCAGTGTTTCATTTGATGTCACTCGCCAGTCACTGCACTATACGTTTGAGGACTACTTCTTTGTATCAGGAGAATATTGATATGGTGGCAGTTTGAGTCTGTTCATGTAACGTGCATGTAGCCTGTAGGTAACATGCATAGGTATGTTCATACGTGGATCATGTAAAGTGTGTTGTGTACTTGGTGAACTGCGAACTGTATGTATGTACCTACCTCGTGCCTATTTTCACCGTAACGCCCACGTTTCTGTGGTTGGTGAAAATAAATGAAACCAGTATAACGCCTTTTGGGGCGACTAACGGAGCGAGCGAGAGGGTGGGCCTTGCACGTGCGAAATTTCCAGGGGGTACCTCCAACTGACTTGTGCACGGCACCTTACTAACCGGTCTCTAGCAATGTGCCAAATTTGAGCACAATCGGCCCAGCCGTTCTCGAGATCTGGAAGCGGCATCCTGCACGTGGGCACGTGCAAAATGGGTCCCGACTGACTTTTGCACGGCACCCTACTAACCGGTCCCTAACTGTGTACCAAATTTGAGCGCAATCGGTCGAGCCGTTCTCGAGATCTGGAAACGACCCCCGCACGTGCGCACGTGCAGCAGCACCCCAACTCTGGCACATGGATATGCAGTGCCTAGTGGGTGCCTACCTACATGCCAAATTTCAGCGCAATCGGCCAAGTAGTTACCGAGATATTGCAACAATTACAAAACTGACACCTCTTCGTTTTGCACGTGGCACGTGCATAAGGGGTCACCCAAATGCATCGGGAATAGTCCAATACTTGGTAGAAGGAATGAAGCTACCCTACAAAAATTACCGCATGTAAATCAGTCAAGTGGTTGCTGAGATATAAGCCTCGCAAAAGCGTCCGCACGGCCGGCCGGCCGGCCGGCCGGCCGCTCATACTCAGAAATTTCCGTTAAACTAAGGAAAGACTCCGCTCGCTTCGCTCGCTCCGTAATAATAATAATAATAATAATATCCGTGAGATATTCTAAAAAGAAACTACAACAGAAACCCGTCTGCATGTTGTTTAGCATAGTTTTTCCCTTCCTGCAATCGACTCACATTTATACGCGTGTCAGTTTGAGTAATTTTAGAGAGCAGAGCAGAGAAAATTGCCACTGTTTTAAACAAGCTGCTGTGACTCCTGTGACTCAGAGTAAAACGGCATTCATTATTTGTCGCTGTACTAAATTGGCGTCGCACAACTGAAAACTATTATTTGGTTGGCATTGACGGTGAATTTACGATTGGCCGTTCAAGCAATGACAGTTGAACTTGTTTTGAATATGAATCAGCTGCTGATAAACTGAAGCGTGCGCAGAGATTTTGATAAAAAGTAAAAAAGATAAAAAAGATAAAAAGCTTATATACAAACTATAGTTTGTATATAAGCGTGTGAATGCCTCGGTTATCAACATAATCGTCCGTTTCAATGATTATAGAGAAGACGTATTGCTTTGCTAGCCATTTTACATGGCTATGAAAACAGAAAGCACTTCGACTTCGCTAATCCATGAAAACAGTCTAAAAGAAGGCGGGGAGCACGCCACTGCTGAAATATGCATAGGCGGGGGGGGGGAACTGTGCCCCCTTGATTTGGGCATTTTAACATTAGTTCTATGGGCGTTGCATGGAAAGAATGGGACCAAAAGTCGGCAGTGCCCGAAGGTGTTTCGCCGCTACTGGAAACATGTCGCAAAATTGTGGTGGCTGCTGCTTATTGTAACACATATTCACCTCACAATCCTCCAATATAAATGATGCTGATGTGAGTACCGTACCAAATCAATCCTTACGTTGCAGCTACCGAAACCTTAGGCTTGCGGTTGCATAAAAACTAAACAAATCAATTTGTTCATTAGCAGCACCCGTCTAACCCAGGTTGTCGAATTGATGATGTATGAAAATGTAGCCACCGGCGGTACCGGAATAGCACGGCTGCTGACGTGGTGGTCGCGGGCCGAAGAGGCAGTGCCGTTTATATGCTCGCAGGTGCAGCTGACGGGACCGGCCCCGCCCCCCACCATTCCACCGGCCCCGCCGCCCATTCCACCGCTTCCGTACGCCATCAACCGCTCGTGTGCATACTGGCAGCCTGCATAGATATGCTGAGATCAGTGTATTGGTAAGCCATTTGGTAACGTCCCGATTCTGTGGGCCTTTGCAGATTGTGTAAGCTAGGGCGTGAACTACGACACATTATCGCTCATTCAGCCCATAGACATTGAGCTGGACGTAGCCCTGCCCCTTACAAACACAAACAGTGGGCTAAAAGTGCCTGGAGCACCGGCGAGCTGGATGCGCCTTCAGCACACAGACGTGTTGAATGTTGATGACGGGACTTAGGACTTGGCCTCCGTGTCCACAGGTGATCAAGATGCTGCTCACTGTGGTGTCCCTATTCGCGCTGCTCTGGCTGCCCTACCGGAGCTACCTGGTCTACAACTCCTTCGCCCAGACGGACGAAGACAAGTACATGGACCTGTGGTTCCTCATGTTCGCCAAAACATGCGTCTACATCAACAGGTATGGGGATGACGCTCGGGTGGTTCGTTGAGACTTGAGATCACTTGCAACTGATCCTCCCAGGGGCAGTACTGCGTTAGCTATACCTTTGCGACAGACACTGAGTGGTAAGCGCCACGCATTACGGTCCACCCCGGCGCCGCCTCCTTAGTCGCGCTCAGAGCTGCCTGTATCAGTGAAAACGTCTCCCAGGGAGAGCGCGAGCGACCGGAGACATCAGTGTCTCTATAAATGGCCCTGGCAGTGTCCCTCGACAGTGCACCAGGGCTGTTAAACGTCACCAGCCCGGCGACCGCTAATGACTGGCCATGCAGCCCTCCCCAGTTTCCATGGCAACCGAACTGTGGACTCAAGCCACTTGAAATTATGGATTGAGATGAGTATAGGAACTGAAAAATACTCGGATACCATATGCTGTGGGCTTCCCGATACCGACGGCAATGGACAATGACTTGGATGAAAGTTTTATGCGTTCTTTTCATTAGAAGAAATGCTACCATGCATGAGAGCGAAGCAACTGAAATATAGTTCACAGCTTTAGGTCATTTTGACATTTTATCAGCCAATTAAAATAGTCTAATAATTTAACCCTAGAACGCCTAGGGGGGGGGGGGGTTGTATCAACCCCCCCCCCCTGAGGTTTTTTTCGAAGTGCACGCTAAACGGCTTGTCGTAGCGGGCTGAAATTTTCAATACCCTCTGGGGCAACCTTTGCGCATCTTTTGCCGAAAAAAATTGATCGGGTCATGTCAGGTCACGGAGTTATGACGTCATAAGAGGTACAGCCTCCGGCCAGATTTTCACAAACTGAGTGCCAACGCCCGAGGTTTCCTGCCGGTGGTACGGACATCGGTTGATGGATCGTGATGAAACTTCCCATGCATGTTGGGGCAAGTATTGGCTATCATATGGTATAATAAATTTGACCGGGTCAGGTCAGGTCACGGAGCTATGACGTCACAAGAGGAACAGCGTCCGGTACTATTTTTGAAAAGCGCCCGAACCACTATTTTGCTAATTCTTGTCACCTCAATGGGAATATGCAGCAATATTAGCTTCTATAGGGACCAATGGACCTCCCAAATCCAAAAATACAATCAGATTTCAAAAATTTAAATTTTGATTTTTCGAATTTCTGCCGCCGACTGTGACCTTGCCGACTTCCGGCGCTCCCAACGCGCCATTGTTAGAGCTAGGGAAACGAAATACATACCAAACGATAGAGAATTGATCAAGGAACACGATAGTGAAGGTTTCAAGTCGATATCTCCCACCGTTTTGCCGCAATCGCCGCCGAAAGTTGAAAAAAGTCTATTTTTCCGAAAATTTGACCTTTGACCGGTCAAAAGTAGGTCAAATGTTAACCTAGGACCAAAAAATATACCACCAATCGCGAGATCTCGTTGAGAGCAATCCGTTGGTTTTTTCCGCTAAGCTCTACGACCTTCCGTTTCGAAACGCCAGGGGGGGTCGTAACAACCCCCCCTGGTCGTTCGTGTTATGAGAAATGGCCTGGTCGTGCGAGGGTTAACCCTATTAGTGGCAGGGGGGGTTGTTTTTATCCACCCCTCAGGTTTTTCGGGAATATCTCCGAAACCGCTGAAGCTACGATGCTGAAATTTTCTAACTTTTCCTAAAACTAAATTGGGCACATTCCCTGAAAATTTCAAGTTCATAACTTTACCAGGGGCGGCTGCAGAGCACTGGGAATTGGGGGGTCCTATTCGTGAAGCGAGTCATTTAGGCGAAGGTCACGATGCTGCACCAGTTTTACGAACAGTGAATAAAAGGTATCATGTGATAACATATACAGTTATTGTGCATCCTCTTTTGACACGTTTTTGCTATAATAGGCGGATCCAGGCGTCCAAAAAGGGGGGTTATGTTTTACCTCCCAACATAGGTGCCCTGACACCGCCTATGCATTACCAATACAATTTTAGTCGTTCTCTCATAAGAAAATTATAACATAACAAGACCATTACCACCCTTTTTAGAAACAGTACCAACAAAAACCTTATTTACTATACTTTTTGTGTACCCCCAATCTCAATGATCTGTATCCGCCTATGATTTTTGAAAATGCATATTTTTAGGATCCATGTGAATTCCTGGTTCATTCTCTATCGATCGGCAAAAGTTGCGTTAAGATTGGTTCAGAAACCTGGCCGTGATAAACAGTCTAAAATGTATCTGCAATTTGCCCGTTTTCACCCCCCTCTACCCCCCTATTGACATTTTTGAATTTTTATTTTTTAGAAATGTAGATCACGTTGAGCGAAATCGAATGCCGTTTGAATTTTGAAAATCGGCCCGTTAGATCTCGAGATATCAAGGGGGGGGGTCGTAAACAGCCCCCCTGCCACTAATAGGGGGTAGCCAGGAGCCTGCCACTAATAGGGTTAAGAGATATGGATGCCCTCGTAGACCGTAGTATTAACTTTCACTTCTTGCGTACACAATCAAAGTAACACCAACACATTTGTTTGATTTAGCTTGGTAGAGCTTCACATCGACTTCATATCATACTATAATAAGCATTAAAAAAGTGTTGAATGAGACATATTGACCTGGAGACCTGGGAAGGTGCCGGTAATCCCACCTGATAATGAGAAACAAGGACCGAGGTGACGGAGAATAGTGCTTGTTGCCGGCCCCCTTACAACATGCCACTGGTGCTGCCGTAATCTTATGCTAGTGAAGTTCAATAATAAGCGCCTACCAGAATGCATGTTTACCTGAATGTGAAGCATCCAGAAACATAAAGAATGCAAATCCTTGGACGCAATCGTCTTTTGTATCCGTGTTTACACTCCGGAAAGCAATCGGACAAAGTTGTGTTTGAGTTATCGGTTGCTAGTGCTGACAAGATATATCAGGATGTTTGGATTCTGAATTATCATAATACCTCCCTTGATACCTGGAAAATAGTTTCACTTTAAGCTCGCGAAGTGCGAACACGCGTAGGCGCGTAGTGCATTTGAATCCAAAAACATTCAGCGATGGAGGCATCGGCTAGTATGTGTTCCGGTCACTTGCGAACCGCCTCGGCCGCACGTCACCTCACACTTGACCCGACCCACTATAATTTATTCAGGCAGTGATTGGCACTGACTGACGTGGCCTCAATGTTTCAGCGCGATCAATCCGATCCTGTACAACGCCATGTCGGCCAAGTTCCGCCGCGCGTTCCGACAGGCCTTCCGCAGACTCTGCTGTGAGTATGACGTGACTGTGACGGGACCTACACTGTGAGTAGTACGGCTGTGACTGTGCCCCATGTTGTGAATCCTGTCACAGACTGCTGTGAGTATGACGTGAATGTGGCCTCTACTTACTCATACTGTGAGCAATGCGGCTGACTGTGGCCCATGTCGTGAATCCTCTCACCGACCCTGCTGTGTGTGACTGTGACCCCCTGTCGCTGACTATTGTGAATGATACGGCTGTGACCCCTTGCCATTGTCTGTACTGTGAGTAGTGTGATTGTGACTGTTGTTGGCTGTCATTGGTCATTGGAAGAGCGCAAGCAACCGGTGAGAAGTGTGACTGTCACTCGTCACTTTCTCGGCTGTGGGACGTGACCTCTGTAACAAGAGAATCGTTCCATGTCGTTCCGAGTAGTGTAACTGTCACAAGCAAACACAAGCGATAATATATTTATTGTACTTACGTCAAGGACAAACACATGGCACCGTCTACCATTGAATGACGCCCAAAAATTATGCTACTTTTTACGACTAACTTCATTCAAGTCGGCGAGTGTTCTCTGCTGTTACGTGCGGCTGAACGCCGGCCCTTGGGTTCCAGGTAAGCCACCGCTGCGCTACGACGGAGTAGAGATGACCACCGTTCCCCGACAAGCCACCCGAACCACGAGGCGTCGCGGTCTCGGAACCACAGAGGGCATCTGAGGCACCCGAGGCCGGCCGGAGCCTCAGCCAATCAGAGCGCGACCCTCCAAGGTCACGCGCTCACGTGACTCTCCGCCGCGGGCGAACTGTGTCACTGTTCGGTGTTATATGGGCGCTTTGACGTTCGATGTGTTGGCAAGTGTTGATGGTGCTGGCGTAAGGAACTATACTAAAATAGTGTTCGGTACATGTTACTCCATAGCTTATACGGCGATCCATTTCTATTGGTACAACTTCTAAGGGTTGTACTTAGGTACTGGTGTGCGGGTGGGACTGTCACCTCTGTATGTCCTGCTCAAAGTGATTGATGTGCGATGCCCTGCTTCTTTGTGTTTTTAATTGGAACCGAGGTGTAAAATTAACTTCGAAATACGTGTACAGTTGTGCGCATCAGTTTTGAAACCCATCGCGCCCAACTCTCTTTGTTCGCAGTTGTTACGAAACGGACACTAACATGTTATGCGATTGAAGTGCTCCACTTTTCATGTAAAATGTTACACCTCATGACACCACAACGTGAAAGAGGCTGAGCACCGAACTTGCAAAGCCAAAACAGTCAGAGAGCACATACATTCTAGCATATTTGTGTGTACGTGTGTGTATGCATGCGTACGAGTATGCTCGTACTTGTATGCTCTTATATGTAGGCATAAAGTTGAAAGAAAGAGACTCATTTTCCAATGAGCCCAGAAAATGTTTTTGTATTGTTCTCATGGTCTCCTCAACCCAGCTATCTGACGGAAAGCGTATCCTGGCTATTTATAAGGAAATTAATGAAATAAATGATCAACAATAAATGCTGTACTGTATCAGACAATGGAGCGATGAATGGCGAGCAGTCTCTTCCCAAGTGGAAAATATGTGCAGCTGAAGGAAATTGTTTGAAACGGCACCGCCTCATCTTTTCATAAATTTGGAAGAGAGAGAGAGAGAGAGAGAGAGAGAGAGAGAGAGAGAGAGAGAGAGAGAGAGAGAGAGAGAGAGAGAGAGAGAGAGAGAGAGAGAGAGAGAGAGAGAGAGAGAGAGAGAGAGAGAGAGAGAGAGAGAGAGAGAGAGAGAGAGAGAGAGAGAGAGAGAGAGAGAGAGAGAGAGAGAGAGAGAGAGAGAGAGATTCGACGAGTCAGACCCCTGCGATGGTCCGCATCCGCGGAAACGTCCAGTCCAACGCCTCATTGCTCCTTATTCAGTGTCGAGTAACTGAAAAACGAGCCTCATTGGTCACTGGAGTGCGACCGGGGCGAAAACTCGTCAGTGCCCTTTTTGCATCCTGATCGTTATTCGAATGGCATCAATGATAAGATCGTTCTATGGACAGATCAAACGTCCAAGAACACAAGGGTGAATCAAACGCACAACGTAAAACGTTTAATTTCGAAGACCATGGCCTTTCTGCCAACCTTCCAGCTGTCATCTTTTGCAGTGACATGAAATCACGCGTCATGAAAAGACTCATCAAAACATAGTAGTAGTCAAAGACAGAACCAAGTATCCGTTCGCATATAACACACATTCCCTAATTACTTTTGAAAGGTGAGTGTACTTTGACCTCGCTTTGCTTGGGACCATAAACAGAATTGTGTGAGTTGGTGAGCACCTAAATATCAGATGAGAATGTTGCTGACATATACATACAATATATGTTGAATCACAAAAACGAATCACTGCGCAACAGCTGTAGGGCTCCAGCCTCGAACTCTATGGAGTAGGCGAGCACAGCTTCCTCTCGGGTCACCGATGAAAAGCAATCTGCGGAATTTCCAATGGAAGCGAGCTGCGTGCGGCATTTCAGCTTCTCTGGATCTCATAAGCTAATTGGGCGTCTGCCGGCCTTTTCATCAAACGTTGGACGTCAGCCGATGGCCACCATTATTGCTTCTCGTAATCAGTGTCTGACACCTACAGAACGCAAGCTCTTATTAAAAGGGACAGATGAAACACCAGACACATTATCAAGAGCGTCGCTCCTAAACTAGACAGTCAGCATGCTTTTGATGGCAGTGCTTGTGTGCTCGTATGTGAATTATGAATATGATGCTGAAAATCGTCAATTGCGTGGGAGGGACATCTCACATTGACTATTCACAGCAAATTATCACGTCAGCAGGTGTCGGCGACTTTTTCACAGCGTTTATCCCAACTTTAGTCAATGATAACCGGATATGGCGACAACTGTGACACTGCACCCTAAAGATCCGACCAAGGCAACAAAGATCGCAAATGGCAAGTTACGGTTTTGATAAACATGAACGGTGATAGCGAGCAGAGACTGCGACAGTGCGACATTCTATGGTAACGTTTTCAAGTGATAATGTGCAGTAAGGCGACAGTTGAGTACGGATGCAGTGGGCTTAGTCCCATTACCGACATTGCACAGCAAAGAGACTGCAAGCAGCGCAGACTCGTGCCACCACGTGCGAGAAGAGCCATGGCGAAGTTAATAATCTGAGCTAACAATAATCAACATAATCAGATCCAATTTAGCATGAATATCACCACGACATACATACATTGGGTGCCAGATTTGAGGGCTTGCCATGACGAAATCAGCCGCTCTGAGGAATTGGGGCCAAACTATCAGCCATATGGTGCCAATAAAGCATCCTTTCCGGCTCGTAGATCACCGAGTAATCTGACGCCGAGAATCGTGACGAGACGCTAAACATGACGCTCTGCAGGGTGAGACTGCAGCCCAAACTGCAGCTATCCTGCTGAGCGGAACAGTAATCGACAGGTAGGATGCTGTGAAGGAGACTTTTGGCGCTATTTGTCTGCACCGGCGCGGAGATAAGGAACTGAATCGCAGTGGGGATTTGCTGGCTAGACGGTATTAGTTTGATTATCATCGATGACTGTGTATTGCTGGCATACGGGCGTCGGGCGCTATGAATACACGGTTGCAGATATGAATGCGACCATTACCGATATCCGCCTCCTAATGGCAGTATCGTGTAGCGGAAAATGATTTCATAGGAAAAGCGAGGAACTGAAAATAGAAGGCCACTGAGAACCTTGCTCTTATCAGACAAGCAATTGTGCATTGCTCTAGTGAGTTTTAAATTTAGCACATACTTTTGTGAAAAAAAGATTGAGGAAAATAAAAGGTTCAGCGATGAACAATGTACATTTTCTAAAAAGAAAAAAACATAGGTACTTCCTGTATCGTTGCACATAAATATGCAATCTTTTACAATCTCTGAATATACTGACAAAATTATCTTGAAGCATAAAACTTCGAAAGAAATTCAATATCTTTTGATAGGTGGCAGGACAGCTAGGCATTTTTAGCGATTTAAAATTATTGACAGATGTCTATGTCAGATTATGACATGTCATCCATGGATGAATGCTTATTTACACAAGCCACATACATACATGCTAACATGGATTGGCATATTATTTCAGAGCAGTCATCTCATCGCGTTTTCTCGTAACACTCAGCTACACACTTCAAGACATATTACCAAATAAAACTACGATAATGCAATATTATTTCGAGAAAAAGATAATTAATAATAAGCCACTTCTGGAGACTGCCCAATTGTTAGATGCTGTTCAAGAGCAAAATGAAGGCGCGACAGCCAACAGGCATATAATAATAATATATATGTATATCGAGAAATAATGACTACTACGAAGCAGCAGCACGCCGCGGTACCGGACTGAGGAACGCCAGGACAAAGGCGACTATGGGGAGCATTTAATTTTAGACGAATCGGGCTCATCCCAGGAGCCATCTAAGCACCCACAGCTCATTAGCCAGCGCTTCTGGGGGGGGGGGGGGCAGGTGCAGGCCAGTGTGCGGCTGAAGGCGTGTTACTTATACCACAGGACAGGGTGTAATCTACGGGTACGAGGTGCGGCATATCTTAGTAATGCTGCCTGGTATCCCGTTACTATTATAGAGACGTTGCGTAGAATTTAATTACGGAGCGAGCGAAGCGAGCGGAGTCTTACGTAGAATAACGGAAATTTCTGAGTATGAGCGGCCGGCCGGCCGGCCGGCCGTGCGGACGCTTTTGCGAGGCTTATATCTCAGCAACCACTTGACCGATTTACACGCGGTAATTTTTGTAGGGTAGCTTCATTCCTTCTACCAAGTATTGGACTATTCCCGATGCATGTGGGTGACCCCTTATGCACGTGCCACGTGCAAAACGAAGAGGTGTCAGTTTTGTAATTGTTGCAATATCTCGGTAACTACTTGGCCGATTGCGCTGAAAGTTGGCATGTAGGTAGGCACCCACTAGGCACTGCATATCCATGTGCCAGAGTTGGGGTGCTGCTGCACGTGCGCACGTGCAGGGGTCGTTTCCAGATCTCGAGAACGGCTGGACCGATTGCGCTCAAATTTGGCACACAGTTAGGGACCAGTTAGTAGGGTGCCGTGCAAAAGTCAGTTGGGACCCATGTTGCACGTGCGCACGTGCAGAGTGCCGCTCCCAGATCTCGAGAACGGCTGGGCCGATTGTGCTCAAATTTGGCACATCGCTAGAAACCGGTCAGTAGGTTGCCGTGCACTAGTCAGTTGGAGGAACCCCCTCGAAATTTCGCACGTGCACGTGCAAGACCCACCCCCTCGCTCGCTCCGTTAGTCGCCCCAAAAGGCGCTATACTGGTTTCATTCATTGCTCTTTTCTCCGTTATGAAGGATATGCTGTAGAATACGCAGGTAGCTGCTTTCTTGACTTTAAACACTTTGAAGAATAGTAAGAGAATGTTGCTAAAACTTATACCTGTTAGCATGTTATTTGATGTTAAAAGCTTGCTAAGCTTCACGTGGACTTACCAACAAACAGGCAGCCACACATACTTCCTCCCATCTACTACTGCAACAGCTGATTTCCTCAATCTCCGCATTCTATTTTAGCTTCCTACCCCTCCCCGTGGTAACTTCTGCCTCTATCATCCTCAGCAGCAGCCACGCGCCATGACCCCTCGAGTCGCGGCGGTGCTGTGAACTCCGGAGCGTCGTCACGGATTGACGGCGTGTCGTGCTGTGATCTATCGGTCCCGGCTGACCTTTTTAGCCCGGCGCCCGCCGCGTGGCGCGGCTCTCCGGCTGACCGATAGCAGGCTGGCCCGGAACGCGTTGTGACGCCCTCCACAATGGTTAGCCGCCCAATCAATCTGCCGGGCCGTGTTGAAAAAGTTGCCGATTTGGCTGGTGCCGCCGCGGCTCCTCGCGGGGTGTTGGAAGACATTGTTCGGCCGGCTCGGGACGTCAGAGAGGTGTGGTGTGGGGCGATGAGATATAAAGAATATGCGTTATAAAGTATCGATAACAATTGGTAACAAGTATCGATAAACAATCAATAATATAATGAATTGGTATGTATTTGTGTTGTGAACGATATGCAGAACATATTTGCTCTCATATATGCTCATCGTCCCTGTACCTGACGGAACTGTGACTTTCAAGCAGGGCCCGTTTATTGAAAACAGCCAACAGTAAGCTAGTTCGTTGAGCATCACTAAAGGTACAGTGCACGACTTCTCAACCACAGACCAATCCATATGTGCATAGTACCAGTGAAACGAAGTCAAAACATGTTTCGAGCAGTAAAATTGTGTACGAGGTACTGACTATAACGGATTCGTTTTGGAGCACCAAAAGGTTAATTCCACACATTACTGGAGGGATCAGGACTCGGCAGCTTGAAAGCCCCACGGGATTCCTCGCTCTGTACTTAACTGATGTTATCTGTCAGGCATACCACGTCCACAGCCACGCCATCAGTTCCATGTGTGACAGACTGCTGGCCTTGTCGGGAGGGTATAGGGTGGACGAGCACCCTCG